GTTAATCCGTTCCCATTGGAACGGATTAACCGGTTTTCAACGCATTCCTATGGGAAATGGTGTTTCACTTAATGATGTTTCCCATAGTGATGGGTTTTTTGGAACCAATTAACATCGTTAAGCGAGGCACCACTGTAATAAGATGCTACATGCTCCTGATACATGTGAATGGATCCAGCATGTAGCTCCATTTTTAATAAGCAGCTTTCTTTTTAAATGACTCTTGGATAGGTCTCCATTTGGTGGAGAAAAGGTATTTGTGCCTTTGTCATTCTTACATGCTTGATGGAAACTATATTATTCTCCTTTAAAACTGCATAATCTGGTTGGAAATATTTGATGTACCTACTCCTTTAAAACTGCATAATCTGATTGGAAATATTTGATGTACCTACTCTGTCTTTTATGTTCTTTAAAATACAGTGGTGCCCTGCTAGATGAAGACCCCGCTAAATGACGAATCTGCATAACGATGACTTTTTGCGATCTCTATAGCGATTTGCAAAACAGTTATTCCAATGGGCGATTTTCGCTTGACGATGATTTGGTCCGTGTTGCACGAACCGTTAATTCACAAGACGACGATTTTTGCAGCTGATCGGCGGCTCCACAAAATGGCTTCCCTATGTTTTCGGGACACATGCTTCGCAGGACAGCCATTTTAACAGCTGATTGGCGCTTGCAAAATGGCTGCCCTATGGGCGATTTTCGCAAAACGACAAGGTATTTTCCTCATTGGAACACATGAAACGGGTTTCAATGCATTCCAATGGGGAAAGAGTTTTCGCATGACGATGATTTCGCTAAACAGCGATTTTCACGGAACGGATTATCATCATGCGGGGCACCACTATATAGGTGGTATTAGTAGTTGTGATGGAGTGTCCAAGAGTTGAAGTTGTATAACATAAAAATGTGCCTTCATGTCAATTCTGACTAATAGTGATCTTTTTCAGGGTTTTCCAGGTAGAGAATACTCAGAGGTGGTTTACCCTTTCTTTGTTCTGGGGATGCCCTGAGATTGTGCAGCTTTGCCCAAGGTGACACAGGTTAGCTGTGCTTCACAGGAGGCACAGCGGGGAATTGAACTCCCAAGTATTGGCTCCAATGCCAGATCTCTAAACCACTGAGTATAGTTAAGTATAATACTACTGGAGAATTTATTCTGATATTGATAGTAGAAGACAAACTGTTCTGATAATGCTGGCTATTAAAATGAAATGAATATGATGATGATTTTTAACTGTTTATTTGAAGCTGTGGAGAATGGACATATCGATGTAGTAAAGCTTCTCCTTCAACACGGAGCAAATATTAATGGGTCACATTGTTGGTCTGAATGGAATTCTTTGCATGAGGCAGTTTTTCAGGTAATCTATAAATCCATAATTTCATTTCCATATAAAGTATTCTCTCTTTCTCTCTTTTACAACTGACAGCTCTGTATAATCTTTGAATTTCCTTTTTTTCTGATTTACGACAGCCGGTTGCTGAACAGTCAGTCTAAATGCAAATGTACACTCCGATTGAGTTGCCATGGGTGTTAAACAGGTGACATTTTAAGCAGGAAAAGGATTACATCTGTTTAAGAAATGATCAGACATAACATGGAAGATAAATCTGTTATTGGATATAAATTTACTTGAAGTAATTGTTTTGCCCAGGGTGTTGGAACCCTCAAACAGTTGGCAGAGGTTTTGAAATGTAAAAGGTAAATACCAGCTGGAGAGTTTTAATGCCTATGATTCCCTGTATGAATTGAGTTTATTAGCTCCACAGCTCAGGAATACCTGCTGGATCATGATACTAATAGAGGTCTTGAGGTGGGCTTATCCTTCAAGCCTACAGTGGCTAGGATTGTGCAATTAATCACCTGTAGGTGATATAGTTGTAAAGGAGGTACTATCTGTTATTGATTGGTTGATTTAAAATATCTGTACTCTGCCTTTTTCCTCAAAGGGGGGACCCAAGGAGCTTACATCATATTAAAAGCTAACCAACAATAAATTATTATAATATTAAAAAATTCAAACAGATATCAAATGAAAAGCTAGTGGACAAAAACAGCTTAAAATAGTTCTAAACACATTAAAAACAACAAAACATGAAACCAGCCTATTAGACTGCTTGATGGAAACTATATTATTCTCCTCTTCGGGTTTCCAGTGCTTGAAGTCTTTTCAGTTGCCATGATCTGTTGTTCTGTACTGTTGTTCTCCCATCTTTGTGGGGACCTTTTTTGAACAACAGTTACATAATCCTTGTTTACAGATTGCAAACACATAAAACAGATGTTGGTCTTTAAAAGCCTATGTTACAATATATCTGGTGGTCTTTAAGGTGCCACAGAACTTTGTTGAATTTGTGGAATGTAAGTCCCACTGAAATCCCCAAAATGTTTCATGGAAGCATAACAACGACTTCTGGATATGACTGTACGCACATTTCTTCAAGATGCACTCTATCCCTCCCCCATTGCATCACCCCTTGGGTTCAAATACAGGCAGCTATAGTAAGGAAGGAGGAAGGAGCTAGCAAATCTTCATCATATGACTAGATATCCTCTCAAGTCTTCTCGTGATCCAGATTATCCACCCAGCCAAAATGCTAAAAAAATGCCTTTTTTATTAGAAGATTCATTTTGGTGCCAGTGGAACACTTTGTACATTGTACTTTTTTAAAGATCAGAACATATTAGCTTTACAGCCTGCTGCATCTCTTTAAATTATGTTCTGGTTCTTCTTCAGATCATGTTCCTTTAAATTCTGGCATAAGAATTGTTCAGTATGAAACCTGCCAAAAGCTTGCCTATGGAATATAAAATTAACTAAACTCCATTTGTCTCAGGTTTCTTTTAAAACAGTGGTTCCCAACCTTGGGGCTCCAGTGGTGTTGGACTACAACTCCCAGAAGCCATCGCCACTTGCTGGGCTGGCCAGGATTTCTGAGAGTTGTAATCCAAGAACATCTGAGGACTCAAGGTTGGAAATGACCAGGAAGGTTGGCCAAGTCTTTGGGCCTGAGTCCAAGTCTTTGGTATCAAGTCCCAAGTCTGAGTCTTGAGTCCCAAGTCCTAAGTCTTGAGTCCCTATTAAAAACAAGCTTTTTCCCCTAGAAAAAAGAGAGGTGCGGTGGGTGGGTTCCAAGTAGCAAGTCAAGTCCAAATCATTGATCCCACCCCTTGAGTTGGGATCCTAGACAATGTCCTAGTCTGACATTGGTTATAATAGCTGAAGCAGACACGTTTTCTCATGGAATCTTACGTGTTTTTCCTCCTTTTGTGGGAGCTGGTGTTTTGCAAACCAGTCGCCGATCTAGGCTGATGTCAGTGTTATTTAAACCAGGCATTGCTGCTCAAAATGGCAGCTATGTCTCCGAGATCCTACTGCAGGTTCTTAATGTTTAAGAATACAGCTTCGCCAATATCTTGCAGTGTGTGTCCCAAGGCAGGTGTGTGTCTATCTTGGGTAGCAGAAAGAAGATGTGCTAGAGACTGATTGGAGAAATTGGATAGACGATGTATATAGCAGTGTATACAGCAGTATATAGAGTTTCATGCAGATGGAGCACAGGGAAAGTAGCTTTGGACCTCATATCTCCTAGCTGGTATGGGTGATAAATGGCAGCTATGTCTCCGAGATCCTACTGCAGGTTCTTAATGTTTAAGAATACAGCTTCGCCAATATCTTGTGGTGTGTGTCCCAAGGCAGGTGTGTGTCTGTCTTGGGTAGCAGAAAGAAGACGAGTTGTGCTAGAGACTGATTGTAGAAATTGGATAGACGATGTATATAGCAGTGTATACAGCAGTATATAGAGTTTCATGCAGATGGAGCACAGGGAAATTAGCTTTGGACCTCATATCTCCTAGCTGGTATGGGTGATGGCCATGCTGGCTTGGGATTCCAGAAGTTGTATTCCAAAAAAAGTTTCCTCTTCAACATCTATGTCCTCAGATTTGACTAGTTTTTGAAACGGGATGTGGTTTTAACTTGGCAGTGTTCAAAACAAAAGGAGACGTAATACTGTAGCACCTTTAAAAGGAAAGGAAGAGGATTTGGATCCACAAAACCTTGCATGGAAAGAAATCATTTGGGGTCTTTGACTATTTTGTCCTTTGTTTTGTTTTTCTTTCCCCCCTTGGTTTTATTCTCATGTGCACTTTCATGGACTGCGATCCAGGTCTTCAGGTCCTCAGACTCTGTCTTTTAAAAAACTACTACTCCTGAATTTTATCTTTTGAAGATGGTGTCTGAAGATCTGGACTGTAATCTGTAAAAGCTCAGACTGTAATAAATCTGCTAGTTCCTGAAGATACCAGAAGGTTTTGCTTTGTTTTCTATTCATCCTGAAGCAGCTGCCATTTTAAAATTTAGCAGTTCTTTCAAGTGACTACTGCCTTTTATGGGAGTTGGGAAGTCAACGTTGGGTAGTGACTCCCTGTTGCTCCACCTCCTTTTGAGGTACTAGCTGGGGGATCCATTAATCCTTCCCGGTCTCTCAGGTGCTTCTGAAAGCATGGGTTCACTGTGAATTGCAGAGAAATGAGGGAAGAGGAAAAAATTTCTTAGCTCTTCTGCCTTGGTGTGGCCAAAAAAGAAAAACAAACATCAAAAAAGCACACACACACACACACACACACACAAGCCTCTGCTTTGCTGGAAATGAAACGTACGCAACCCTTCCCTTTTCTGTTCTTTTTGCTAGAAGGAGCTGAGAGTAGGAAGGAGAACTGATGCTGTCAGCCAGACAGAATAGCTGGCTGCTAAAGTGGAGGTCTTGAGAGACTAAATTGTAGTTCTTTTGCTTTGTTTCCTATTGAGTTTTTGCTCTCTCACCAGAGATATCCTGAGATACTGAGATTACTCCTTGACCAAGGAGCTGACAAAGAATCGGTGGATGACTTTGGGATCACGCCTTTGTTTGTTGCTGCACAGTACGGAAGACTGGAGTGTTCAAGGATACTTATATCATACGGTAACTCTTAACGGTTTCTGTGAAATGGCAGATTCTAGGCGAATTTCTTTGGTAAAGGACAGCAGACCAAATGTTTTCTTGGTGCCTTTGCTTCCCTTTGAAAGCATCCTGATGGAGCACCTGACTGAGGATAATTTTGTAGCAGAGTATGGGTTCACAGGGTCACAATGCTGGGACTTCTCAATTAGTTTGGCAGATAATGTTATCTATCACCAGGCCTGCAGGTGCTTTCTGAACTTACAGTAGTGCCTCACAAGACGATTGCCTCGCAGGGCGAAAAACCCGCAAGATGATTGGTTTTTGCGATCCCTATGGCGCTTTGCAAGACGGTTTTTTCTATGGCTGTGCTTCGCAAGACATTTTCCCCCGAGACTGATGCCTCACAAGACAAATACATTTTATTTGTCTTGCGAGGTTCCCATAGAGAACCTCGCAAGACAATTTTTTCACAAGATGACGATTTTCACGGAACGAATTAAAATCGTCTTGCGAGGCACCACTGTAGCTGCAATCTTGAGGGTGGGACAGGGAGGGGGGAGAGATCGATTTCCCCCAATAACAGTATATTCTTTTCTGTGTAAACAGATAGACACAGAGCAACACATCTCTGTGTTTTGGGATTCTCTTTGGAGTCGTGGTTGTGGGGAAGACAATTTTTTTCACAAGATGACGATTTTCGCGGAACAAATTAAAATTGTCTTGCGAGGCACCACTAGTTGCAATCTCGAGGGTGGGACAGGGAGGAGGGAGAGATGGATTTCCCCCAATAACAATATACAGTATTCTTTTCTGTGTAAACAGATAGATACAGAGCAACACATCTCTGTGTTTTGGGATTCTCTTTGGAGTCGTGGTTGTGGGGAAGACAATTTTTTTCACAAGATGACGATTTTCGCGGAACAAATTAAAATTGTCTTGCGAGGCACCACTAGTTGCAATCTCGAGGGTGGGACAGGGAGGAGGGAGAGATGGATTTCCCCCAATAACAATATACAGTATTCTTTTCTGTGTAAACAGATAGATACAGAGCAACACATCTCTGTGTTTTGGGATTCTCTTTGGAGTCGTGGTTGTGGGGATTGGTACTACTTCAGTACAGCATTTGCTTTAAATGGGGGTGCAGAGGGTGGAATATTTATTTATTCTATTTTTGTACCAATCCATAGTGAACAGGTACTCTCTGGGCAGTGTACAATCACCCAGGATATCAAATTGTAGACAACAACAAACATAACTAGACATAATAATAAGCAACCATTAGACAAAGTAAAAACGATACAAAAGCCATAATATCCTCTGCTAAAATGAAGACAGTTAAATTGAAACCCCAGTTTAACATCGCAACTCCTGAAACGTAGAATAAAATGGCAAATGCTGTAGTAGTGTTCATGGGTTTTCAAGTGTAAGGCCATTCAAGGCTGTCCTGAAAAGTTTATATTTTTTAAGCATCTTGCTGAAGGTCAGGACGGAGAGTGCTTGGTGAACTGCCACTAGCAGCTTGTTCCATAATAAGAGGATTGGTAGGGCAGAAAATGCTCTATTTCTAGTTGTGGGTTTTCTGGCCTCCCTGGCTGTTGGTGCTTTCAATGACAAATCCTGTGAGGAGCAAAGAGGACAGGTGGTTTGCTTCAGGGAGAGTTGTTCCCTTATATATCAAGGTCCCAAGCTATTAAGGGTTTTATAGGTCAGAAACAGCACCTTGAATTGAGCCTGGAAGCAAACAGGTATCCACTGCAAGCAATCCAGAACTGGGAATATATTATCAAATCTACCCGTCCCTGCAATAAGTCTGGCTGCTACATTCTGGACTCAGTGAAGTCTGTATAGCGAGGAATCCGTCCCTAAGTACAGCGGGGAGCCATTTTGAGCACCCGGCAGCCATTTTGAAAACCCGATAATCAGCTGTTTTGATGTCGTAACGTGAAGAATCGGTTCCCGAAGCAGGGAACCAATCTTCACAAAGCGAAAAAACCCAATTTAAAGCATCGTTTTGCGATTGCAGTTGCGATTGCAAAACCATCGTCGTGAAGCGGATTCGTCGTAATGCGGGGTAATAGTTAAGCGGGGCACGACTGTAATTTTAAATTGTGCGATGCTCTGATAGAAATAAAGAAAAAGAAAAGCACTGCTTTCTTAAAGCCTTCAAAATGCTTAAAGCAGTTATCACTTGACTGTAGTTAATGCATTTCGATGGGCTAAAAACTCACCGTCCAGCGAAGATCCTCCATATGGCAGCCATTTTCGGTGCCTGTATAGCGAGGAATCTGTCCCTAAGTACAGCGGGGAGCCATTTTGAGCACCCGGCGGCCATTTTGAAAACCCGATAATCAGCTGTTTTGATGTCGTAACACGAAGAATCGATTCCCGAAGCAGGGAACCGATCTTCACAAAGCGAAAAAACCCCATTTAAAGCATCGTTTTGCGATTGCAGTTGCGATTGCAAAACCATCATCGTGAAGCGGATTCGTCGTAATGCGGGGTAATAGTTAAGCGGGGCACGACTGTAATTTTAAATTGTGCGATGCTCTGATAGAAATAAAGAAAAAGAAAAGCACTGCTTTCTTAAAGCCTTCAAAATGCTTAAAGCAGTTATCACTTGACTGTATTGCTAAAACAAAGAGGGTTGAAAAGAGAGCTCCCCTCTCTTCCCTGAGCAGATGTGGGTCTGGGGGTGGCCTGTTTAAAAGGCAGAAGATGTACCGCTTTTGTGGAGGCTTTAATCACCTCCTTAAAAAGAAAAACACTGTGAAAGTACAAGCGAAACACACAGGGTGCAGGAGGAGGTTGCATAACCTTCGATCTTAGCCACAGTGATCTGTGCTCTGTTGACCTCTAGGTTAGATTGCTACAGTGCTTAATGTGTCGGGCTGCCCTTGAAAATGATTGAGAAGCTTTGCCTTGTTCAGAATTCAGCTGAGCCATTTTTCTAGATGCAGCCGAGTGAACACAAATGCTGGGGATTGCACGGTTCCCTGCTGGTTTCCAAGCCCAGCTCAAGGTGCTGGTAAATGGCTTAGCCTCCCAAATTTGTGAAGCCTCTGTCTATTGTTTCCCACCTGTGTGCTGAGATCCTGAGCAACCTCCTCCGTGCATGTGCTATTCTGGGAGGTGTGCCTTCGTCTAGCTTTCTAGACTACAATTCCCAAGCATCCCTCAGCCAGCGCAGCCAGCCCTGAGGGTTGGGGTTTTTTTTGGGGGAGGGGGAAGTAGTTTCCGAAGGGACTTTCACCACTACTTAGCCATCTCCCTGGGTGACTTTATTCTACATGATTTCTTTACCTTCTGATTGTTTAATTGTTCCTTCCATCATGTCCGTAGTCATAGTGTTGTTTGAGCCTTGTGAGAACTGGTAGGGTTCTGCTTTGCAAGTATTTTCATCCTTGCTCATCATACAACACATGCAACCTGCAACTCAGAAATAGAAGCAGGAATGTAAATAGTTTGCAAGAAAAAAAAACTTTACTCATGCTTAACAGGCCTCTGGTCTCGTTGCCCTCACCTTTAGCAAACAGTACTGGCCATCGTTGAATAAGAGCGAAATCCTGAAGTGTAACTGTTATTTCTAAATGAAAAGTCTGTCTGAAAGACTGTTCATCATGTCCACTGATAAATCTGAAATTGTTCTCAGTGTGAAAAGCAAACTGGGTGACTAAATGCCCACCCTTCACTAGACTGTTGGTATGTTTTGTTGTTACTGTTGACATACTTTTCTGTGGAAAGAAAGACTGATGGGGATGCCTTATTAGCGTTATTGTAGGTTGGAATAAATCCGACTTCTGTATTTCTTTCCTGCAGGGGGGAAAAAAATCTCATTCCTGAGATAGTATTTAGGGGAGTAGCTGTGTAGTTTTCCTTGAAATTAAAATAACAGAGTCATTTTGCTTCTTAAAGATAAACCATTTTTATTGGACATAGGTTTTCATAGACTTCAGCCTATTTCTTCAGATGCATTTAAAAAAAAAAAACTAAAGTATGACATAGTGGCTAAAATTCTGTTCATTGCTGTACTGAGTTGCACTAGAGTAGGCTTGCTGAATCAATGGGAATTTAATGAGTCAACTCCTTCATAAATTCCCATAAAGACCTTTGCCTTACAGCCTCAGCAATGAACACGTTGGATGCTTACTGGTCTATGCTCACAAATGATTTCTGGTGGCTCAGGATTCCCCCATCCTCAAGATCCTATCCAAATATGTTCTCAACTTATGACTACAGAACATGGGTTGCTGAGGGAGAGATCCACCCAGCATGATTGTACAGCCCTCTTATGTGCTTGCTTGCTGTCCAGGATGGTGTGTAATCGTAAACGTTCAGTCACAGCGTTAAAACGTGAGAAGTAAATGTTATAAAGCTAAACAAGACAGAGTAACTACTGTAGTTAAAAGTCCACGGCAGCTGTTCTGGACAGGCAGCTGCTGTATCTCCTCCTCCTTGGAAGATGTGCAAGAGCCATCTCATTCCACGTTGTGGTCTTTCAACCAAGCCGAGATTCACAAGAACAGACTTTAGCAGAATGTAGGAAAGATCTGACAGCAAAATGCTCTGTTGAGGCTCTGTCCCCTGCCCGAAAATGAGAGGAGATCCCACTGAATTCAGTGGGGTATCGTTAGATATGAATAGAATTGACTAGATAGGGGAGCTTTGTACTTGTTCCCCTGGGGGAGATGAATACGAAGCTTGCCAGCCCAGGTGGCTGGCCTGATCGGACCCTCCTCCACTGAACCGTTTGTCCGCTTACCACTTGCCCATTCTAGCGAGGGGATGGGAGGACAAGAAGATTTGGTTTTAGCTTGGTGACTAATCTCTGTGGCGTCACAATTCTCTGTCAGGAGCGAATGTCAATTGCCAGGCCAAGGACCGGGCCACACCCCTGTTCATCGCTGCACAGGAAGGCAATGACGGATGTGTGGAGCTGCTGTTATCCAGCGGAGCAGACCCAAACCTCTACTGTAATGAAGAGGAGTGGCAATTGCCTATCCATGCTGCAGCACAGATGGGACACCACAAGTAGGTTTATGCAATAAGCTGCTCCTGTTCTTTTTTTTACCCCACTGCCAACCTTGAATTCCCAGCTGGAAGAAGGATAGGATATATTTTGAATACCTTGAAGATGTCTAGTATCATTAAAAGAAGTAGTATCTCCACCAGTGTATATCACGACTACTCCATACTCCCTTGTGCTCATTATTGGTGTGATCCATTCATCTCTTGGTGGCCAACCTTTTGGTGGTAAGCTTTTCTTTACAATAGGACCCCACTACCTGTGGGATCAGTATCTACAGATTCACTTAACTGCTGCCTGAAAATGCTAAATAAACCCCCCCCAGCAATATACCGTATTTTTCCGTGTACAAGACTATACTTTTGTCTAAAATCTTTAGACTAAAAATTGAGGGTTGTCTTATACACAGAAGTAAGCTGAGGCGAGAACAAACACAAGTGGAGGGGAAAGCAGGGATCAAAGCAATCCTGCAGTGCTTTGATCCCTTCTTCCCTACACTCCCTAAACCCCACTTATATTTCTTAATTTGGGGTTAGAAAAGTGGGGGGCGTCTTATAAGTGGGGGCATCTTATACACGTAAAAATACGGTGTATCTTATGTATATTTCCAGAGTCTATTTACCAGAACTGACCACAAGGGGGAGGCAGAGCCCCTGCAGTGTATAGCATTCAATACTTCTTGAAACCGATCTCCCACGAATACCGCAGTTGTACTGTACTTTGTTAGGTTGGTCCATGCCACAACGGGTAGGTGGCAGTCTTAAGGCTAGGTCCAGGAAAGCGGAATACAAATACAGTAGTGCCTCGCTTAACGAGCGCCTCGTTTAACGATGAATCCGCATAGCGACGGATTTTTTGCGATCGTTTTTGCGATCGCATAACGCTGTTTCTAATGGTAAAAAATCGCTTTGCGATGATCGGTAAGCTGTTTCACTTGCCGATTTTCGCATAGCAATGTTTTAAAAACAGCTGATCGGCGGTTCCCAAATGGCCGCCGAAAAAATGGCCGCCCGCTGTGTTTTCGCGCTGATTCCTCGCATACTGGGCAGCTAAAATGGTGGCGGTATGGAGGATTTTCGCTTAAAGGTGAGTTTTAAGCCCATAGGAACGCATTAAACAGGGTTTAATGCATTCCTATGGGCTTTTTCTTTTCGCATAGCGATGAATCCGGATAGTGACGATTTTTCTGGAATGGATTATTGCCGCTATGCGGGGCACCACTGTATGTTAAAGGAAAATAATCTGCAGCTTTGAGTTTTGCAGAGGCAAGGTTTGCTCTAGTATGGTTGTTGTGAGTTTTTCGGGCTCTTTGACTGTGTTCTGAAGGTTATTCTTTCTAACATTTTGCCATTCTCTGTGGCCGGCATCTTCAAAGGAAGTTCTCTGAAGATGCCAGCCACAGAAACTGGCGAAACGTTAGGAAGAACAACCTTCAGAACACGGCCAAAGAGCCCGAAAAACCCACAACAACCATTAGATCCTGGCGGTGAAAGCCTTCAAGAATACTTTGCTCTAGTATCTCCCACAGTGCATCGAATTGATCTGAAAGAGAGTTCAATATCATGTTGAATAGACCTGCTCCTCTCATGGTGGCATGCAGAAGCCCTCTTTTCCACGCTCCGAGCATTCACCCGCTTCATCTATCCACAGCATATTGCGAATGCTCATACCAGTTACAGACCGGTCCTCTGGCAGTGCGGAGGGAAAAGTGAGCCCTGTGTACTCAGCGATCTATGGGGATCATGAAGATTGCTTGGAGCTCTTGCTTAAGGAAGGTTACAGCCCAGACGCCCAGCCTTGTCCAGTCTTTGACTGCCGATCACCCATGTCTCTTGCTATCCCGAAGGGGTATGTATACTGCTATGGGCCCAGGGCACTGTGTTCACATACAAGGGTGGATGGGCAAATAGTGTGGAATGGTGATGACACTGTATCCAGAGTTTTCCATATTTTCTACTGATAGGGAATTCTTTTCTGTATTGAACTACTTGCTGTAAAACCCATATCTTTTGTAACAGATTGTGAGGGGTGTTCCATGATACACATCAGTTAATGTAGAACGTTAGTCAGCCCTATGTAGCTTCCTTGTTGTCCTGCATGATCTGAGAACGAACCATGGACACACCCTGTCATGATATTGAAGGAGAGTGGGATTCCCCTATATAGCTTCTTTGTTGTCCTGCATGATCTGAGAATGAACTATGGACACACCCTGTCATGATATTGAAGAAGAGTGGGATTTGTAGTCAATGAGAAGGAAAGAAAATGGAGTTTGTTAAGTTTTAAAAGGTGAAAGGAGTTGAAGACATGGGAATGTGAGAAAGACAGAGAGGTGGTTTTTCTTAATTTACAGCCAGGCTGGTACAGCGTGAAACCTGATAAGGATGCAAGGACAAGGAGGCCGAAGACCCAACAAATTCTTTTCTAATTGGAATGGAGATAAACCTCCTGCATCTCCCTGAGAATTGGGGGCGGATCGGACAGTTATGCCTCTTTGAGTTAATTGGTTTAGTCAGGAAGAAGGAGGTCCGAGGAATGTAGAAAAATGGCAGATGGGTTATGTTGGAGAGAGACCATTTTGTGAAAGAGAACTTTTGCCTGAGATAAGTTCTTGACGGTTTGTGTTGCATAGCTTGAAGGAAAAAAGAATGTAGGTAAGAAAGAAGGAGGTGGGGCTAGCCCACCTTAGCCCAGTTTTAGTGTTTATGATTTTAATGGGAATTAGTTGTTGCATTTAACGATGGTAATCCTTGGAAAATGCCTTTATGCTAATGCTTGAGCAAAAACAAACTGTTTCTATGAAACTATATTTTCTTAATAAAAAATAATTATAAAAATCATCACCGAGGACCGGTCTCTTGGATCAGCAGGGTTTGGCTAAATCCAGAGGAGTGGTGAAGGCCATTGACTAGCTATCATAGAGAAGTCCTATTTAAACAAGCTGTTGTGAGTTCTAAGGAATCACAAAGCCCATGTTGCTGTACTTGCAAAGTACTGAGTAAAAGGAGAGTGTTCTTTTAAGGTTAGGCTTGTTCCAGGTGCAAATGCTACGCCCTGCTGGAAATTACCATTCCAGTGGACAATTGGTAGTGGTAGGTAAGCTGTCTCCAGCAAACCTTCTACGCCATTATTCATCTTGCCATGTGACAAACTCTTGATTAGCTCCAGTAGCATCCTGTCATTTTCTGTTCAAGTAAACAACAACCCACAATTTGTTTTCCCTGCTAAATAATGCATTTATATGCCTTTTAAGACTTTTTAAAAAAAGTTCAGGAACTCTGAAATTTAGAGATGTACAAATTTGGGATCTGTATTCTAAATTACATTAGTCTAAGAGACGTGTATTGGGATGGTTGTCTCGAGAATGCAGATTGAGTGAAATCCTTGAGGATCCATAGCAATTTTTTAAAAAAATGCTCTTTTGGTGCAGCATCAGCCTCTGTGGCTCCTTTTAATGAAAGCAAAAGACTCCACTAGGCCCACACCAAGTTCTCCTATAGTCCTTCGGCCCCTTGAATTGTTTGCAATTTGCCTCAGGGCCAAACAGTATCTTCTTGCTGGCCCAGCGTTAGAAGGTGAAGTTATTGTTCCAGAAACATGATTCTCCTGTGTCCATTACACATTTTCAGCACCTAAAGAATTCCGTTGCTAATTATGGGCATAGTTTGGCCATTGGGTGATGGGGGTGGTTCATTGAAAATCTGGGTGGAACATTCCTGTCTCCTTTACAGGGAGGTACAGGGGGGAATCGAACTCCCAACCTCTGCTCTGCAGCCAGGTTCCTAAAACACTATCCAGCAGTTCCTCAGCTCCTGCAGTGCCAAGTCCTAAGCCAGGTGCTAAAGAACTTTGTTGGCATCTCCTTGGGGAACTGCTCCTGCTTGAAGCAGAAGCCTGTGAAACACACAGCCAGTCTAATTTTCTTGCTTTCAAAAGGCCTTATTAGCAGTCTCTCTCTCCTGGGAACTTGATATGATTTTGTAATTGAGTTGCGTATATTCTTAATTAGCACGATTCTCTTTTTTCATGGTCTCCTACCTACTGCCTGCCATGGCTGTGGATATCCTCTCGTCTTATCAGTCTCTCACTTCCTTGCTTCCCAAAGTGAAGAAAGAAGGGTCGTAATGTGGAAATAGTTCTGAATTCTGCTGGGGCGTCCTTTTTGTTTAACCCTGAGAGGTGCAGTAGGAACGTTCGTACTCCAGCTTGCAGTGTGAAATCAATGTTGACATGGAAGCATAAGTAGCTAATCATTTGCTTATTTTTTTTTAATAGATCTGGATTAATTCGCCTTCTTCTGAAGTATGGGATCACCCCTCTAGAAACCGATTTAGGCCTTTGCCTTCACCACAGAGCATTCTCTTTATTTCAGTATCTCTTGAAGCAAGGTTGCAAACTCCCATCCAGGCAGCACCTGGCAGAATTTTTAAAATATGCGATTAATGTAGAAAGCGAGTATCAAAAGTGGCTGCCTTCTCTCTTGCTGTCCGGATTCAATCCAGTCAATCTTCTCCGTCTGTCATGGTAAGCAAGCATACGTATGTGTACATATAGATAAGCATCCACATGCATCTCTATGGGCACGAACCAGAAAAAAATGATGGTTTGTGATGGTTTGTGGTTCACCATAAACCACGAACCAACAGGAAAATTGAACCATTGAGGGCAAGTTTTTGGTTTGTGCCTGGGGGAGGGATTAGCTGCTCTGTTGTACCACCTCTGCCACTCTCTTCCCCCTTGGCTCCCCCCCTGTCCGTTTCTGTGGGCAGAGAGCAAGAAACCAGCGCATTACTCAACATTTTTTTCATGAACAATTAAGGACAACACCCCTATGTTTAACAGCTTATGGCAAAACTAATAAGATTAGGAATCCTGGATAGCAGTTAGCAGTTTCTTTTTTATATCACCACCTGCTGGGGTATTGCAAACAAGCTGTCAACAAGGCTTCCTCTCTCTCTGTCTCTCTCTCTCTCTCCCTCCCTGTGTGTGTCCAGTTAAAGTGCATTGTCCTGGGGAAATGTGCATTTCCTGGTGCGACTTGCCAGTGAATGAATGCTAGTGAAATTGCCTTTCCCTCACTGTGTAGTCACAGCCTTGGTTGTGATTAAGACACATGGTGAGCGCTTCTGTTGGAGAGAGGAAAGGTGTGTGGATGGAATAGTGTCTAATCCTTTAACCAAGCTTTTCACAGTACAGTGGTGCTCGCTTGACGATGTTAATTCCAGCGAATTCGCTGTAGAGCGAAAACATTGTAAAGTGAAATTAAAAAGCCCATTGAAATGCATTGAAACCCGTTCATTGCGTTCCAATGGGCTGAAAACTCACCGTCCAGTGAAGATCCTCCATAGGGGCGGCCATTTTCAGGTGCCTGTATAGCGAAAAATAGCTCCTAAAAACAGCGGGGAGCCATTTTGTACACCCAGCGGCCATTTTGAAACCCGACGATCAGCTGTTTTTAGATCGTCGTAATGCGAAAATCGGTTCCCGAGGCAGGGAACCGATCATTGTGAAGCGGATTTTTCCCATTTAAACCATCGTTTTGTGATTGCAAAAACCTAATCGTCAAGCGATTTCCTCGTTAAGCGAGGCAATCGTTAAAGAGGAGAGGCACCACTGTATTATGTCTTTGAAAGAGAAGCCGACTTAGAATAGACATGAACAGCTATTGGCAGACAGGGAAAATGGGACAAAAGTGGCAGCAGGATATGCTTAGTTCTCCTCTGTTACAAGATTGTGTTTTTGTGTCAAGTTCCAGCCATTTTGCCTTATCCCCGAGGGCAGGAGGTCTAATTTCGTCAAGTGAAAGAGCAAAGGTGCCACCCTGCCAAAGCTTTAAGCATGGAAAAGAAAGCACACACCCCTCCTTCAGGGAAGGGCGCACAGAATACCTTTTCTTCGAAAGGGTAAAAAACATCTTGTTGCAGAATAGCCGAGGCTCACAAGCCGGTTATAATAATAATAATAATAAAAGCCTTGTATTTTGAAGCCAAATATCATTAAAGGTCACCAGATGTAGGCGGCATAAAAACTGTTCTTTTAACTACTTCGGTCCCTGGCACATTTTGCCTTGGAAGCAATGAGCGGCTTCCTTAAGTCAGATGAAATAAATCCTTTGAACAAATCATTTTGAATAAATCATTTGAACAGCTGAGGGGTCCCAACTGGCAGCCTGCTTTCTGAGTGTTAATGCCCTTTTGTGGGGCTGGGTGGCAGTGGGAGAGGTGGAGAGAGTTTAGGAGGGAGTTTGTGAGCATGAGGAAAATTTTAATTTACTGGTCCCAAGCATGGTTCAAGGCTGTTAAGATCAGAGCCCAGAGATAAACTGTCACACATCATGAGTTACTTGTGATTAATTTATTTTTCCAGTAGCCAAGGTAATAACTAAGTTACCTTGTGATTATATCTTAACAGCCATAATTTGTAGTTATTCTAAAGTGAGAGCATATGGCTTCAACATACTGTTTAGAAAGTGTTGTACCTTGTTTTGCTGGGAGTGGAGTGGATGGTAGGAGAGTAATTTGTATCACAGGATTGTAGGATTCAGTGGGTTTTTTTTTAATGATTAAATAAAATCACTGTTTCAGTAACTTCCGAGAAATGGGAGAGTAAAGAACGACTCTCATCTCGTTCAGGGAAATGGGAAGGTGTTGCGATTGAGTGATGGCTTTTGCTGGGCACGAGAGTCCAGCAGTTAATTTTTTTTTACTTGTTTATCAAAATATTTATATTCCATGCTGTATCCAGGGATTTTAGGGCAGGGTTTAACCAACAGAACACTGATAAGCAAATTAAAACATTATAAACCAACAATTTAGAAACAGGTCCAAGGCCACTGGAATGGTTTTAAAGTGTATTAGAGCAGATTAACAGTGGATGATGAGCACCCTCAAATAGAGATCAAGAACACGATCAAACTATGATCATTAGACCCCGGAAACGTGGGTGAAGCATCAAGTTTTGATTTGCTGTTGAAAATGTCATCTGTTTGTCCTCCAAGAAAAGGGCATTCCACATCTAGGGTGCTGCTTTGGAAAAGGCCCTTTTCCAAGGTGGCACCCTAGATGACATTTTCAATGGCAAATCAAAACTTGACACTTTGCCCACGTTTCCAGGGTCTAATTTATTATAGTTTGACTGTGTCGCTGGTGGGATACAGAAGAAGGCCTCCCCAGCAGATCTTAATGGTAGGGCATTAAAGCAATACACAATCAAGTCTTTAGTATAAAGCGTTTGGGTAGAAGCCTGTTGAATGCCAGTAGAGCAGCGTCGTTCTGTGCAATCTCCTGGCTTGCCATGTGCACTAGCTGACATTGAGTATATGAAGGAACACAGTACAGTGGTGCCTTGATTAACGATTGCCCCACATTACGATGAATCCATTTTACGACAATATTTTTGTGATCGCGATTGTGATCGCAAAATGATGGTCTAGATGGTGGAATTTTGCTTAGCGATGATCGGTTCCCTGCTTCGGGAACCAATTTTCGCTTTACAACGACCAAAAACAGCTGATCGTCGGGTTTTCAAAATGGTCACCGGGTGCTTAAAATGGCTCCCCGCTGTGCTTAGGGACGCATTCCTTGCTATACAGGCAGTGAAACCCGCCGCTGTATGGAGGATCTTCGCTGAACTGTGAGTTTTTACCCCATTGGAACGCATTGAATGGTTTTCAATGCGTTTCAATTGGGTTTTTAATTTCGCTTTACGATGTTTTCGCTTAACGGCGATTTTCCTGGAACGGATTATTGTCGTTAAATGAGGCACCACTGTACTTAATATCTCTTTGTGTATGTGCCAAAAGAACCTGTACTACTTGCATTAAAACTGTTGTGAAACCAAATGAAAATTAATTACATTGCACACATTCTTTGAGAGGTCTGGTCTGGCAGTGGTGATGCATGCCTGAGTTACATCTTGGATAGATTACTGTAACTGCTCTACATGGGGCTTCCTTTTGGAAACTCCGGTGAGTCAAAAATCCCGCAGCCAGATTGTTAACGGGATGGTTACAGGGAACATATTACACCTCCAGTACAGCCACTCTGCTGGCTGCTGATCTATTTCCAGGCACAACTGAAAAGTGCTGGTTTCTAACTCATAAAGCCCTAACTGTCTTGGGTCCAAGATCTTCCAGGGAGGCCTTTCTCTCGATCCCACCACCCACACAGCCACATTTCATGGAGATGCAGGAGAAGGGACCTTCTCTATTGCTGCTCGTGGAGTCTTCCACTCCCTCCCACGGGAAACCAGGCTGGTCCCATCTCTGCCATCTTTTTGCAAGCAAGCACCTTTCTCTTCCAGCAGACTTTTCTTTAAATACAGTGATGCCTTGGTTGATGAGGATAATCCGTTCCAGCGAAATCACTGTAGAGCAAAATCCTCGTCAAGCTAAATAAAAAAGCCTCTTGAAACGCATTGAAAACCGCTCAATGCGTTCCAATGGGCTAAATACCTCAGCGTCCAGCGACGATCCTCCATAGGGTGGCCATTTTCCGATGCCTATGCAGCGAAAAATCCGTCCTAAAGCACAGCGGGGAGCCATTTTACACAGCGGGCGGCCATTTTGAAACCCGACGATCAGCTGTTTTGATCGTCGTAATGCGAAGAATCAATTCCCAAAGCAGGGAACCGATCTCCGGGAAGCAAATTTTGCCCATTAAAACATCGTTTTACGATAGCAAAAGCGATTGCAAAAACCTCATTGTCAAGCAGATTTGTCGTTTAACGAGGTAATTGTTAAGTGAGGCACCACTGTAACTGGTTAACAAGGGAGATTTGTTTAAAAGCGAGAATTTTATTCTGTGTTTTGCTTTTGTTTTTTAATATTATTCTTTTTATGAGGTTTTGATATGTTTGTCATTTGTTAATATGGTAATAACTTATTATTTGGCTTTTAGCGTTTTTTCTTTTAAAAACTGTAAGCTGCCTTGGATTCTTTAGGAGAAAGGTGGCATATAAATATTTTAAATAAATAAAATTACTGACTATGTCAGTGTTTGTTCATAGCAGGATATATATAGCAGAGATTGGAAGCTTATTTGGTTTGGATTGCAGACCTAGAATTTTCCAGCCAACATGGCCAGTGGCTGAGCAAATTCAGAGATTATATAATATGTAGTTCAACCCCCCCCCCGGCACACATTTCCAAGCTCTGGCGATTCAGCTCCGTGGTTCTTAAGAAATGCCCCCTTGAGCCATTGAGGAAGTCATCATTGCCCCCCTCCCCGCAACGGCAGTGTGGCACCGCTGCAGGGCGGGGGGGCGATGATAACTTCCTCAATGGCGTTGGCACGGCGGTGTCGGCGGCACCACATCTGCTGCCAGCACCAGCTGCTCTGGATCCGGCAGCGCGGGGAGGGGGGGTGATGATAACTTTCTCAATGGTGGAGGTGGTGTGGCTGCTCCATCGTCCCCTATAGCCCCCTTTCTGTTCCTTCGCTCCGCGTCGCCCCTTTTCATTCCATCGCCCCCCTGAAAAATGAAATCGCCCCCTGGGGAGCAATATCGCCCAAGTTAAGAACCACTGATTTAGATGACAGAGGACCACTGGCCTAGAGTTACCAGGGAGCCACACAGCTGGGTGGGTAAACTGAACTCTCTTCTCTTGCAAATGCCCAACCCTACAGCTGGCACGATAACTGAATTTTGTTCAATCCTAGGGTGTGCTCTGAAAGGAACAAGGCCCTTAACTTCCTTCTGGAGTTTACTAACTGGAAGAGACTTCCTTGGGACATCGAACAGATCCTTTCCAAACACAAAGGAACTTCCTCATGGGTGCCCTTTAGTAATTTTGGTAAGTGAACCACCAGCTAATTCATTTATTCCCTTTACTTTGCCGCATCAGTGGTAAAGAAGCCTTTGTACAGATTGACAAGGATTAGGCTGAATGTGCTTGTTATAAATGCGCAGGGAAGTTAAGAAATGAACAAAAAAATTGAGGTGTAAAAAAAGATTAGTTCCTTTTTAGAAATAATTCAAAATGTGTATCATCTTCCTGCTTGGTTCATGTACCGGAGGGATCCCCAGTTAAGGAAGGAGAATGCAAGCCACTAGGGCTGGGAGGTGTTTCAAGGTTTTCTTTTGAATCTTGTGCTTCCCAGAACCAGGGAAAGGGGCAGACCCCCCCAAATAAAATGACTCCTATATTTTGGCTAAGCCAGGGCCCCATTTATCTTAGACGAAAGAAAGGGGTAGAGATGGTGATTAGAGGTGGGCATGAACCTTGGTTCGATGATTCGGCATGGTTCGTTTCCTGGCTGAACAGCTAATTCGGCGTCTCCCTCCCTCCAATGGGTGCCCACTCAGCAGCAGCACCACACCCTGCCTCCTTAGGACGTCGCCTCTGAATGAGTGCCTGTTGGATGAGGCTGGGCGCTAAATAAAAAAGATAAGCTTTTGGCCAGGAAACAAGCCGAGCTGAACTAGTCATTTGTGCCCATCTCTAATTTGAGGTGATATACCAGTAGGCCCCCCCCTGTTTTTTTCATAGAGGATGAGTGGGGAATAGACTGTACAGTTTCAAAAGTATTTTTATTTGCAATGATTGCCTTTGATATTAGGGAAAAAAAGAGTCCCTGCCTTATTGCCTTAAGGCTTCTTTCCTTCCTTTCCTCATGGCTTCAAAAGTCCGATATTCATGATCAAAATACCCTCCAAAGGTGGAGAAATGCTATGCCTTGTTTAATTTTTCTAAGATACATTTTTTGTTTAATTGGTTAAGTATCTCCTGTTCTGTTACGTATTGGTAATAGCATCATGCAAATCAGCTAATTCATGTTCAATTGAACGACTAAGTATCTCCTGTTCTGTTATGGATTTGCGACGTTCTTTATAGGGGGGCTTGTTTGAGATGCACCCCTATAATCCTGCTATGGTCATTTTCTGTTAAAAATATTCTTTAATAGGCTGCAATACAGAAACAGCTGTGAACTGGAGGGCAAATTTTCAGTGTTTAAATGCGTCTGTTCCTCTGGTGTAGTGAGCTGTGTTTGTATTATGAATACCTCTCCCATGTGATTGTGGGGGAGAGGCATTCGTGTGTAGTAGCATTTACTGTTTTTTTCCAGGCGACAAGTCATGCCCAGAATGCTATGCCTGTTTTCTTGTGCAATGATGCATGGATATGACCCTAATGTGAGCACAACTGTAATAGACCCTCCTCCAACACAGCCTGCATCAGAGGATGACATTTGTGCACTCACTATCACTTCATCCTTGCATTGAGGACCTAATGGTCCAAAGTGACGGTCCTTTTTAAGATTAACTGACCGTCGTCTTCTCTTCTCACCAAAAGATGAATTAGAATAGGCAGGAGGGGAGGAAGTAGGGTATACAACAGAAAAAGGTAGTGTGGAATCAGAATCCACATCATTAATAACAGTCAGAGGATCTAAGACTTGTACAGGGAAGGTTAAAAACCCTATACCTGCACAAGCGCCGGGATGAAAATTTGTAGCATATTGATCAAAAAACAAATTTTTTATCAGAGTTCTTTCATCAACTGTTACAGGGCAGGCCCAGTAACAGTTCCCTGGCTACTTTCCCACAGTTACGGATTTGCAGCGTTCTCTATAGGGGGGCTTGTTTGAGAGGCACCCCTATAATCCTGCTATGGTCATTTTCTGTTAAAAATATTCTTTAATAGACTGCATTACAGAAACAGCTGTGAACTGGAGGGCAAATTTTCAGTGTTTAAATGCGTCTGTTCCTCTGGTGTAGTGAGCTGTGTTTGTATTATGAATACCTCTCCCATGTGATTGTGGGGGAGAGGCATTCGTGGAAGACTTACAGGATTGTCTCTGCTTGTGACGACAATAGAGTGAGTAAAATCCTTAGGGATGACTCTCGCCCGGGACAGCATTTCTTCATACTTCTACCTTTGGGTAAGAGATATAGATGCATAGCCTGCCAAATAGGCTGAAAAATAGCTTCTATCCATTACTGTCAGACTTCTAAATGCCACATAACACCATGACTAGACTTAATATAACAGACTCACAGTGTCAGTATAACATGCAATATGTACATGCAATAAGTAGGAAGTAGGGTATACAACAGAAAAAGGTAGTGTGGAATCAGAATCCACATCATTAATAACAGTCAGAGGATCTAAGACTTGTACAGGGAAGGTTAAAAACCCTATACCTGCACAAGCGCCGGGATGAAAATTTGTAGCATATTGATCAAAAAACAAATTTTTTATCAGAGTTCTTTCATCAACTGTTACAGGGCAGGCCCAGTAACAGTTCCCTGGCTACTTTCCCACAGTTACGGATTTGCAGCGTTCTCTATAGGGGGGCTTGTTTGAGAGGCACCCCTATAATCCTGCTATGGTCATTTTCTGTTAAAAATATTCTTTAATAGACTGCATTACAGAAACAGCTGTGAACTGGAGGGCAAATTTTCAGTGTTTAAATGCGTCTGTTCCTCTGGTGTAGTGAGCTGTGTTTGTATTATGAATACCTCTCCCATGTGATTGTGGGGGAGAGGCATTCGTGGAAGACTTACAGGATTGTCTCTGCTTGTGACGACAATAGAGTGAGTAAAATCCTTAGGGATGACTCTCACCCGGGACAGCCTTTCTTCATACTTCTACCTTTGGGTAAGAGATATAGAAGCATAGCCTACCAGACAAATAGGCTGAAAAATAGCTTCTGTCCATTACTGTCAGACTTCTAAATGCCACATAACACCATGACTAGACTTAATATAACAGACTCACAGTGCCAGTATAACATGCAATATGTACATGCAATAAGTACATGTATGTATGTATGTATGTATGTATGTATGTATGTATGTATGTATGTATGTATGTATGTATGTGTGTGTGTGTGTGTGTGTATGTGTGTATGTGTGTATGTGTGTGTGTATGTGTGTATGTGTGTGTGTATGTGTGTATGTATGTATGTATGTATGTATGTATGTATGTGGAAACATGTGCCTAGCCCCGGTATTTCTGGGGTTGGGGATTTGTTTAAGGTTGGAGATGTATTCTGTGTCTGAATGTATATGTATTCTGTGTTATGTGCTTTGTGTGGTTGTACCAACAGAGGCTCATTCAATTTCACTGCACACATGTTGTGCATTGACAATAAAGGTTATTATTATTATTACTTCTGTTTTTAAAAACTTCCATGGAAGGGTTAGTTCAGAAACATACTTCGTCGCAGGGAGATTCCGGGAGGAACAGGCAGTTGTGATCCCAGTAGGTCACATTCCCAAGCTGCAGAGAAGACTAGGTAAACTTAAATGTAGGATGTCAATGTAAGACTGATGATAGAACAGCTTTAGCTAAACATCAATTTAATAAGCTGCAATACCGTGCAAATACCATTGAGAATTTCAAATCTCTTGTGAATCTTAAGCATTGCAGAGAAACATAATTAAATCTACCCTCCAACAGACATTTTCTTGCCTGCTGCGTGTGGGTCCAGCAGCGTCATGTTCAAAGTTGTCTTCAGTTTTGGAAAAAGAAATCTGAAACAGGGTGGGCATCAGAGAATCATAGAATAATTGAGTTTGTAGGGGCCTATAAGGGCATCAAGTCCAACCCACTGCTCTCTGCAAGAATCCTGGGAGGTATAGTTCAAAACAGGCTCTGGTGCACTCTGATCTCAGAGGCATTTATACCATCAAGCTTTTTCCATTTGAGTTTCTAAAATCAATGTGCTGTTGGCTTTTAATAAATGATCAGGTGGCTCTGCTTGATTCTGCTCTGGAGATAAAGGTCATCCAATTACTCTAGCAATAGTGAAACTTCTGACCACCCACCAGCCTGAGCAGATACACTATGCAATTATCAGTTGCTAACTAGAGACTTAGGAGAATGAAATACCATCTTTATGAAAAACAGCAGAAAGGTTAGGCTAGACTTTGATCAGAAAATGTCTCTTCTCCCATATGTACAAGGCTAGCAAACGTGTGGAGAACTCAGCCTGAAATATTTGTGCAATTAATTCCTCTTCATGGTCTTTATTAGTTCACCTACTAAGTTTTTAAAAAATATTATTTTGCCTTTTTAAAGTCTTGGAGAGGGGAAGGAATTGAATTATACTTTTTAACAGAAGATTAACTGACTTCACTTTCAGTTGTCTGATACAGTTTTTTTCCATCTTTACTGGAATCCTTGTGAGCCACTAATGTGAACTTGAAAATGTTGAAATAAGAGTGTTGATTCAGATTCTTCTTTGCGGTCTCTGTGATTCACATCTTCTTCGTGGTCTCTGTGAATGCACACAAATGGGCTAAATTGCACCTGCGCAGAACTCTTCGGAATATTCTAGAGTTTAAACAATTGACTAATAGAACGTTTCCCCTGTGGTACGCATGCTCCGCCTGCCCATGATACTTCAGTTCCTTTTTGCTGCCGCTGCAATCGGACTCTTTCGCGACGCCTAGAGCTGTTTTTTAATTCTGATCTCTGAAGTATTTTGACTTGGACTGTCTCGATTTATGATTCTTGGATTTTGTATTGGCTACCGTTTTTCTTTCTGGTTCTTCTGACCTTTGGACTGATTACCATTTGCGATTTGGATTACAGACTTTGTCTTAATAAAGTGCTGTCGTCTGAAGATGCCGGCCACAGAGACTGGTGAAACATTAGGAAGAACCTTCAGAACACGGCCAAAGAGCTCGAAAAACCCACAACAACCATTAGATCCCAGCCGTGAAAGCCTTCGCGAATACTTTCTCTTAATAATTTTGGCCTCTTATCTTTCTCGGTTTTTGATCCTCGATTGCAATCATTGACGTTTCCTGTGAGTTCTTCCCTTTTCCCCCTCTCCCTCCTTGCACCTGTTCCCGCCAAATTTTATAGCCTCATCAGGCCCTTTCAAACGCTGTACATCATGTGCCAATAAGATCCCCTTGACGGATGGTCGCGGCTGCTGTTTATTTTGTTTGGGGGAAAGACACCAGACCCACTCCTGTCTGGAGTGTAAAAAGTTAACCAAGTCCGCCCTTAAGCTCTGCTTACAGCGGCTCTGCTTGTATCTTTGGGAGAAATCGTTAACATCCTTGAGCCCGGCAGCCATGGAACCTACTGTAACTCCTGCTCCTCCCACTCCCCAGCCCAAACCCACTGCCTCGCCGGCTCCTGCTACTCCTTCTTCGAGAGCTTCTTTGAAGGCGTACAAGTCGAAGAAGTCGTCGGCATTGATATCAACATCGATATCGAAATCTGAAGAAGTCGTTGGCATTGATATCAACATCGATATCGAAATTACTGTTAAAAGACCCAAGAAAAAGAAGGAGGCGGTTAAGCATAAGTAGGCTAAACAGTCTTCTAAATCTATTCAACCTTGGGAACTCCCTCCAGTTTGAGTTTCTCTGCCATCACCGATACTTGAGGAATCATCCAGGGAGCTTCCTGATCCTGACTCACTTTCTGGAGGGGACGGCTCTGTACCACCGCCATAGATGCTGGCTTTGGTATCGATTCAAAGCCTGTCTCCAATTCATGGCCTTTCTGAGGCTGATGCAATCCCCAGCCCGGCCTCAGCCCATTCAGGCCCTATGTCAATTGGGTGGGCAACAGTGATTCAACTGTTCAACGCGGAGGTGTCACCACAGCAATCCCCTCCTCGTAAATGCAAAACATTGGCATATTTCTCCAGGCTGACAGCTCCCTCAGCATTGGGAGGTCATAGTTCTTCCATGTCTGTCTCGACATCATACTTTCATGGAGTATGAAGATCCGCTTTATGTAGAGGATGATCGGCATGGTGGTTGACGTTGCTATCATGGGGATGATTTTGATCCCTTATATCACACCGGCAATTATGTCAGGCCCAAGAGAGTGCGATATGTCTATGCCTCTCCTTCTGGATCATCTCCATCGCCTTCACTGCTTCAGCCTCAGCATTGAGCCTATTTCCAGCTCAACCCTATGACATCGAAGCCTGCTACTAAGTGCCATTTACTGCAGCAGGATCAACAAGTATCCCGTCCTGCGAATTCTCAGGCTCCATTGATACCATCACCCTCGGTATCCCACCCGAGAGCATCCCACGCTCAGTCATCTTGTCAGACTGCGTTTTCTAGAAGTGCTCATCCACCTGATTCCCCAAGCTTCAGCTTCTATATCAAGTTATCCTTGCTTGCCTTCATCACTGCTGTCCTTTGCTAGAGGTTCCTCAGTTTCATCGGACTCCGAGCAAGATCTACCTTCAGAAGCATCCAGGGAATCCCCTTCAAATTATGAGAGCTATGACAGCGGCGGACGTTCAGAACTGAGGTATTATGGGCAAGCGGAGCATGCACACCACAGGGGAAATGTTCTACTAGTCAGTTGTTTAAGCTCCAGAATATTCTGAAGAGTCCTGCGCAGGCACAGTTTAACTCATTTGTATGGATTCACAGAGTACCACTCGAAGAACCATGGTTACAGGTAAGTAACCTCTCTTTCTGTTCCTGCACTGGCATCTTAGGAACATTCTAGAGCTTAAAACAGATCAATTAATCCACACCTTCTCCCTACTGTGCATGCTCCCCCTACATCCACAGTGCCCCTTCAGCCACTGCTGAGATGTAACACCTTAGGCTTAGAGTATAAAGAGTCTTTCATTTTGTTGAAGCTTCGACTGATTTTTCCCTCTCCTTCCAAGTTCTTACTTGTTATTACCTTCCAGTTCCTTCCTCGTTGAAGGACACTCTAAGTGCCTTTATTGCTTAAGGGAGGGACATCAAATGCAAAGCAACCAATTCTGTATAAAAAATTACTAAAGTAGTGGTTCAATTTTGGAGGTCTAGATCAAAGTTCTGTCTGTGGGGAAAATCCCTTCAAGCTATTGATACCGTCTTGAAATAAACTACTTCTATTGGAAAACCTCAGTTTGCAAAATACCATGTCCACCACCACATCCTGTACATGATCAAATAAATAAAAACATAACAACACACAGTCCACATAGCCATGTTACCCTCTCTATTGGACCTTGTTAAGCAGTTTTGGAACAAACCATCCATGTTACCACTTATCTCTAGAAGGGCTCTATAAAATTCAAGATAAAGAGGCCACTTTCTTCCTAAAGCATTCCCAACCCAACTCTGTTGTCATGGAGGCATCCCAAAGAAAAACAAATGGTCATAATAACGCCATACCCAACCATAGAGATGGATATAAAATGAGTACTATTCGGAGACTAATTTAGTCCACTGCAGCCCTCTGAAGCAAATTACCAAGCAGCCGTGGTTGCATACTATAATTTCTTATGGCATAAATTGGAACCACTTCTCAACAGTAGTGGACAATGAAAGGAGATTAGCCCTCACATTTCAGGAGAAACGTCTTGTGTTGACTTCACAGCAGATGCGTTCTGCAAGACATGCAACTGTGAGAGCGCAACTAAGAACATATCGGCAGCTGTAGTCATCAGGCATTGTGCATATTTGAAATCTGCCGGATTATCCGAGGAGTCTAGATCCAGAATAGAAGACTTAGGTTTTGATGGTGAGGGCCTTTTCAATAAGAAGAAGGACATTGTCACGGATAACCTGCATAAGAAAAGAAAAACAACAAAAATAATGGGTTTCTGTTTTCAATATCAATGGAAACAATCCCAGCTGTATTGGAGACATTCATACCCTTTGCACCAGCCAGTGAGCAAGCTTGTCAGTCACCCATTGGTATGAATCACAGAGGCCACCAATAAGGAGGAGACGTTGCTTACCAGTAACTAGTTCTTCAAGTGGTCCTATTGAATTCACACAACCCATCAATCTCCCTCAGTCTGCCACTCTGCTGCTCTTTTTTTCTCAGTGGCAAACTAAGGATAGAAGGTGGGGCAGAGCATGCATAATATGGAGAGGGTGTGGATTTAGTGATCTGTTTTAAGTTCTAGAATGTTCTGAAGATACCGGTGTCATGCACCAGGATCTCCTTGGTATGAATTCACACATGACCACTTGAAGACCTATGGTGACTGGATCACCCTTTGTGCCTTACCTTAGCAAACTTTTCAGGTTTTATTTTAAACGTCTGGTAGTAGAAAAATGCACACACCCCCAAGAGCCTTCCTACGTTGCCTCTTCCTTTTCTAAATGTTCGTCATCTTTCTAGTGACGAACACAGGAATGATTTGAATCGGTAAACAAAGAATGAATGCTGTCTTCCACCAGAGAAAAAGTTGTGAGTGTATAATTGTACCTTTGGAACAGTTACAAATCTGGAAAGCCATTCTCCCTGTGGTGGGAGGGAACGGCAGGAAGCTGAGGCCTGAGAGAACTTTTGACCAGCTATCCTCGACTTCTTAAAGGACAATTTCTGTTGAAGGCCTTGGAGGCTATGGCTGGTAGTGTTTAGGTAGAAAGAGTGAAGCAGCCTTTGCTGTCTTTTATTGAGGTTGCTGTGTTGGGTCTGTGATGGGGATTAGTCAGGCGGAAGTTCTGGTTTTAACCTATAAAGCCCTAAACGGATTTGGTCCAAGCTGTCTAAAAGGCCACTTCTCCCTCTGTCAGCCTGCCCAGGAATTAAGATAATCAGTGAATGCCTTTCTCTCAGGTCCACAACCTTTACAGGTATGCTTGGTGGGGGCATGGGGTTAGGCCCTTCTCTGTTGCTGCTTGTGGACTCTGGAACCCCCTGCCACAGGAAGCTAGGCTGGCTCCATTTTTGCTATCCTTCTGCAGGCAAAGACCTTTCTCCTCATCACATAAACTTTTCCTTAGTCACTGGCAGCCTGAGAGGGTTTTTAAAACGGATCGTTGTGCTCTGTTATTTTTAGATATGTTTTAGTATTGATTTTATTGGCTGTTTTTAATACAATACTTGTTTAATTCTTTTATAATATTTGTATACTCGCTGGTTTATTTTTTCAATATTATCTTTTAACTGTTGCAGGCTGCCTTGGGTCCTTTGAAGGAGAAAGGCAGGGCGAAAATATTTAAAACAAACAAACAAACAAACCCTCAAAGCCATTGTGCTCCTTATTAATTATCGGAAACCGTCAAAGCCATTGTGCTCCTTATTAATTATCTTTCTTTTTTTGTTTTTGACAGACTGTATTCCTTCCTTGTCTCATCTTTGCCGCCTAGAGATCCGGTCACTTTTGACCAGCAGCCATTTACGAACGGACCATTTTGTCCGTCAGTTGCCACTGCCCACTTGCCTGCAGGACTTCTTACTTTATTCGGACGTGTTAAGGACATCCACCATTTCTGAACATTGGCTTAACCTGTGGGAAGAGTATGAAGGAAATGGCTTGCTCTCTGTTTCTGCCTCTGAAAATGTGTAAAGAAGAGGAACGTAGAAGTGGGGCCAGATGGTCAAGGCGTGTGGTGTCCCGTCATCAAAAAGACCAAACTGTTGAGCCTGCATTATAGATACTGGAGTTGTAAATACTGTATCTACATCATTGCTCCTTGTAGGAAGTCCTCCCTTCAGTGATGTCGTTTGGATGTCTGCAGATGAACTTGTCAACATGTTTTGTTTTCTCTCAAAATAGTCCAAAATTAAAATGAACAACACTAATGTATAGGAAGAAGTATTGAGGATCACTCCAAAATAAAGACATTTTCTTTCTATCTGTTGTTATCTTATTTCAGCATCACAGGCAGAATTAGGGAAGACATTACCACAGCAGCTTCCATTCCGTAGTCTCAAGCAAAGAGGCATTTCTAGGTAAAATCGCACATTCTCTTTCCCCGCCTCCCTGGGCAACGACCCACTCACCACTCAGAGTGCGCTTCTCTCCTCCATCTCTTTGGCTGTTCAGTCCCCAGCAGGAGCACGGGTTTGCCTGTCCTGCCTCCTTGTCTGAATGGGCGATCAGCCAAGGAGGCGGGGCAGACAAGCCCGAGCTCCTGCCAGAGACAGAGGAGGAGGAGCAGTGTGCATGGGCTGGTGAGTGGGGTGGGGAGACCCAGCCTGGAAGGTGCGGGAAGGGATTACACAGCACCAAACTCGGAATCGAGGTTCATGCCCATCTCTACCCGCAGATTTCCATGGAACAAAAGTGTGACTTGACATCTTCTGCATCCACAGCCAGAGAGGGCACAGCTTGGTTTATACCCAAATTAAACACATCATGTTTTCCTTAATATTATGGGTAAATATGTAAACGCTGGGCTGGGATTTTGACCGTGAAACCTCTAGCCTGAGATAGCCAAGACCGGCTCTGTCATTCAGCAGAGAAGAGGTATCAACTTCAGATGGCAGAGCAGAAGGCATGTGTGACCAGCCCTAAAAGGGGAATCACCCCTTTTTTTACTGCCCTTTTCTTTCACCAGGCTTGCCTTAAGCCCAAACCATAAGAACACAAGTGGTTTTTAAATTGAAAGATAAAAATAAGATCTTTATTGAAATATTACAACGGTTAAACTGCACAGTCTTAAGCTTCAGGTTACACGAATCGTAAGGGTCAACTTTCCTAGGCCAGATCTAGCTGTCCCTAATCCAAAGTATTTATCTTACACAGCCCACTCTAAAACTCAGACTCCTCTCCTGAGATATAATTTAACGCTCTCCCCATCCATCCCTCTTCCCATCCATCCCTCTTCAGATCTTCTTTATATATCTCCTGCTGGCTCCTCTGGATTGGCTCTCCTGACTTCTTCCGACCAATCACTTTCTTTCTGTTGTTGCTGGGTAAAATGCGAGAGGGTTGCGCTGCAGCATGACAGACAGTGCCCTCGTGCCTTCCTGTGAGGGTTTGTTTCAGCTCCTCCGAAGGAGCCTTCCTGTCCAAAATGCATAGCTCTGAGGGGGGTGGTGGGTCTAGTTGGCACCAGCTGGTTTGTGCACATGGTACTTCCCTCCACAGACCTTGGGTTATGGCAGGAATGGTTGGTGGAGTGATGATGAGAACAGTGAGGGGAATTTCTGCATCAGGTGTTGATAAGAACTCAGGTTCTGACTGTGTTAAGTCTTTTTATCACACCTCCAGTCTCCCTGCCATAGGGGGCTAAGCTTCTCCAAAGGGGAGGGGGGAAATGCATTTCCAATAATTTTTCTCATATCCTTTCTCCGCCGATTGATTTCCCCTGATCTTCCCTTAGCCCTGCTTTCTTTCCAGCCTCCAGATCTTCAGCGTTGAAGGATGAATTTGAATCACAAATGGCTCCCCCGGTTTCTGAATGTAGAGTGCAGCTTCTTCTTTTACAATGCAATTTCACTCTGGGGAGAAATTGCATTGAGAGCTGTTTTATGCTAACAGGAGCATGCATAAATATTTGATACGCTATTCAGGTCAAAACCATGAGAAGGTGGGAGTCTAGACAGACTTTTCCTGTATTAGTATTATTGTGCTATTGAAATTATGACCTCTCTCTCCCCTCCCCCCCCAAATTCATATAGATAGATTTGATTTTAACTGCTGAAAATGGGGGAAAGCACAGGTATCTTCTTGGCAAAATGTAAAATACACTTATTTAGCATTTTATATTCCACATTTCTGACTGTGTAACATCATCATGTGAGGGCCAGTGGGGTGGAGTAGATAGTTTTGGATGTGGGTCCGATTATCTGCTCAGCCTTGGAAACCCATGGGGGGGTTCCTTCAAGATCTCCCCTATCTCAAACATCTTATCATCATTGTCATAAGTTAGAAATGACTTGACAGCATGTAACAACAACAGCAACACCACTGCCGGCACCGCCACAGCATGGTGTAACAAAAAAGTGGGGGATCCTTCTTCACTTCAAGGGCCAAGTTCAATTTCAAACATGTTCTTGGGGGTTTTCACTGGAAGTCCAGTAGTGAGTGGGGCCAAAATAAAGTGTTACCTTAAAACTCTTAGTGCTGGTAAGTAAGCCTTCGGAGAAGCCCTGCAATTTTACTTTATTTTTTTTGGAATGGCACAAACCCATACAGGAGCTGGGAAATAATTGCATGGTGGTGTCATGGGGGGAAGGGCCACGTTGGGACACCCAGAGGGTTGGATTCACTCTTGGGACCAGAAGTTTGCTTGAGAATCACAGCAAAGAAGACATGGATCCCATTTTTTACTCAACTAGTTCACTGATGGCAGTCTAGGCCAATGTCTCACCCTACATAAATTTGTAGGATCGTTGAAAGGATAAACATATTTGGTGGGAGCACTTTCTACTCAAGTCTGAACACTTTGGAGGCAGTGTGGGACATAACCTGTATCGGATAAATAACATTCCTCTTTAAATCAGCAGTTTCCCAACCCAGCAACCTTATAAGGTGCATCTCCAGTCAACAAAGTCCATGTGGATTGTAGTCCACCATATCTGAAAGCCACCAAATTTGGCAAGACTGCTGTGAAACAAGACTGGTGAATTGAAATTAACCAAGCCCTTTTATACATGTTTACTCACAAGGAAGCCCCACTGAGTTCCACAAGATTTCCAGGTAAGTGTGTACAGCAGGAACAGGAACGTTTGACCTGTCGCACATTCTGGCTTGTAAATCCTGCATTCCTTTATCACTGGCCACAGTGGGTGGGATGATAGAAATTGTAGTCCAGAGCATCTGGAATCTCACAAATTTCCCACACTGCAGCTAAGAATAGGGAGCCATAAACCCCGTGCATGATGAGCTGAATGTAGCACTCAGAGCATGCCATGTTCACAGTACACCTGTACAGAGTCGATCCAAGCCCTGCATCAGTTGGTCAAAGAAAAGCCAGTTAGCTGGCCTGGCTTTCATCTGAGTAAATCCTTCCCCTCCTGTTGATTCAAAGGGTTGCTTCCTTCTGTGTTGTTACAGTGGAAGGAAGGCAGACACTCTTAATTTTCATAGAGACAATCTAGAGTTCACTTGCATTTGGATCCTAGGGACAAAGTCCTTAGGAGTTTCCTTGAGCCTCTGAGTAAGAGGATGACTCTTGGGGAACAAGCAGGGAATAAACCAGCGGAGGAGGAGAAAAGGCAGAGACTGGAGCACCAGCATCTCAACTTGTGAGTCTTCTTGTTAACACAAGCCCTGTTGGTGGCAGCAGACAAATATTCCCCATTGGCCGATGATGAGCCCTCCACTGCTGGAACAGCAGTGTTTTGTTATGTGTTCTCCAGTTGATTCTGACTTACGATGACTCAAGGAGCAAATGACCTCTAGAAGGTCCACTTTTGATCAGGCCTGTCAAACTAGAGGTGGTGTCCTCCTTCAAGTCAGTCCATGTCTTGTCTTTCCTACAGCCTTCAATTTTTGTAATGTACTTGTTTTTCCCAATGAGTCTTGCCTTTTTTTCCCCAGCTATGGTATCATCATCATAGGCATCCTTCAGTCTCGAGAGACTCTGGTGATGTGCTCTGTATGGAGGACGTTGATGCTGTATGCGAAGCTGGAGTGTCCTTTCCAGAGCATGAAGCCTGGGTAAAATAATATGGAGGACAGGCTGTTACCCAAATACTGTATAAGTCCAAAGTCCAAATAAATAAATAAATAAATACGTACAACTGGTTCTAGCGATGTTGCAGGAGTTGCCAGAACGACACGAACTGCCTCCGGGACTCCGGCTCTGGATTTTGCCTCAAGGTTTACTCCTGAAGCCTTTTCCATCAGCGGATATAGCCACAAGGCAGTGGAGGTTTGAAATCAGAGTTTTCCTTTTCCTAGATGGGCTGCCTTCCAAGGCTTACGAGTCCCAGCTACCCGGAGCTATGGTGTAGAACCTGGAAAAACTTCTTGTTTGTCATGTGTGCAATAGATAAGACCATGTAGATGTAAGTCTTAGGAAGAGTGGTGGCAGATGTACATTGCCCACTTGTCCAGCCACCAGAAATGTGTTATTTCACTCCTTTTTCTGTATTACCAGGTAAAATACAGGTTTTACTAAGATTTTGGATCTTTGTACATGGATACTATTCATGTCTGTTTTCAACAATCTTCTACTCCCAAAGCAATCCAGGCTTCTTTCTCAACCCTGCCCTGCCTCTGTGATGTCACCGCGGCCTGCCCACCCTCACAAGGACCTCCCCACTTTGTCTGAGATTTTTGGCCCTGAAAGCAGAAGGAAACGGGTTTTGCTGACATTTCAACCCTTGTAAGAGTTTATTTTCCCCCTGTCACCTTCCCTTTTCCTCAAAGCACCAACATTTTACATGTTGAGAAATTATTTCCTGGCACAGCAAATGTTTGTTTTTATAGTTTATGGTGGAAACAGAGCCCCTTATCGACTGATGATAAATCCACTTCAGATGCCAGAGCACAGAATGGTTAAATCCGTGTTCATGCAATAGAGGGATGTTCAGCATTTGGCCAGGGAATAAACTTCACTAGCTATTTATTTTGAGTCAATAAAGGTCTCCACTCCTCTCGGCTTCCCTGTATTAAATACTGCGTCCCAGTGGAAGAAATACAGCACAGCATTGGTTCCTTGCTGGAGGAAGACGGGTAGCAACGGGATGACCTGACAACAGCTATTGACGTGGTAATATAATTGAGAGCTTGTTGGGAGAAATGACGGGAAATTAAGGACATAATTAGCATGGAAGAAATCGTTGTTGCTTACAACAGGGTGCTGTAATCATTCAAAGTGATTTGTTGATGTCACAGGCTTTCTCTGTGTGGTCTGTTAGGGTAGGAGAAGTGAATGTAAAATAGAGCAAAGCATTCATA